GGCAGGGTCTCCGTGTCATGTCAGAGCTTTCTGAAGGAGTCAATGAGCTGGAGAACAAAGGAGATTCAAGCTGCTGGAGGCTACCCTGGGGTTTACAAAGCTGTTTGGTGAAGTCCTGCCCTTAAGAGTCTCAGATGAGAGCCCTGAGATGAGAGGAAACGGTCTCCTGTGCCCGCAGACACAGGGCTGGGGAACAGCAGCAGGTGGTTGGCTTTCTCCGTAGAGAAAGATGGTTAGAGGAGGCCTACGTGAAATCCTCACGGTGCGGCGTGTTCAGAAGTGAGTCGGGAAGAGGAAGGGCAGAAGGGCGGTTGGCTGAAGATACCAAGTTATTGAAAGCATTTAATACACAGCCTGGTTTTGAAGGTGTGCATGAGAATCACACATGATATTAAAAGGTTTGGCACTATCAGATGAGATGAAAATCCATGTAGATACACATTAAACCAGTATACAGATGGGGTGAGGAGGGGAAACAGTCTGAAAATTCTTTTATGGAAAATAAGAAAATATGGATGTTTGTTTCATGTTTCAGTTTTACTCCCTAAAGTACATCAACGTTATGATTTGGATGGGGATGCCAGTATGGCTAAAGTGAGTAATTATGATTTTAATTTATATACCTGTCTTAGATAATGATACTGAAATGAAAGCTACTTGACTTTCAGATGAATAATGTTAATGAAACTATTTTTACTATGTTAGTGAGGATTCTGATTGACAGAAATATGTTTGTTAACAAGAGGTCCAAAAGTATACTAAAGCCATATTTTGTATACAAAATATGTTTAAAGTGAATTAAGAGAGTCCCTACCCTTAGAATTTAAAAATGTGTCATGTTTTACAAATTTCATTTAATGCATATGTTTAATTTCTAAACTACTGAAGAAATGTACTTGTGGCTTTCCAGAAATTAAAGTTAATCCTGAGAGTAAGTGGTGTCATTTTTTGTTTATAAGAGACTTATGTTCATCCCTAACAGATATTACAGCATAACTGGAAAATCTCGCTGCCATGTTTGCCTCCACAATGAGTGTTTGATTATATCTCAACTAAAGTTTGGGCTAAGTTATGTGTTTTAAACTACCATCTTCATGTTGCTCTTTCTTTTATTAATCTGTGTTGCTTTCTTATGATTAATTGACTTGAAAAATTTGTTAAGAGAGTGCCAGATTAGTACTAATGTTGTTTGTTTTTTCCAACAGGCAGTAACAGGTATCGTATGTTATGCCTGTAGAGTTGCCAGTTCTTTGCTACTTTACCAGGAGCTGATGCGAAAAGGAATACGATGGCTAATGTAAGCATTTTATTGAATTTCATTGTGCTTTTCTTTTATTTTTCAAAATGAGATATGCCTTAACTATCAATACATAATTCTGTGATCTCCCAGTATCTCGAGAGGTTTTTTTTTTTACTCCTCAAATATGAATAGGCTTTCTGAATTTTTTTCTTTCTTTCTGTCATTAAGGAAACAAAAATGTTTTTTTTCTGTTGGTAAGGTATAGGTATTTGCAATTGCACTTTCATCTGTAGATAATTTAAGTCTAACCTCTGGTAATGTGCGGGTACAATCGAGCAGCTTGCACAAGACAGTTTTCTATGAGGATTATACTAATGCATCTCTAACTGAAAGGAGTTCTTACTAGCGGTTATTATTGTATTACTGCTTGCTGGTAAGAAGGCAGTTGAATGGTTTTGTTACAGACTAATGCTTCACTTTTTTAGTGAAATCATCAAGGATGATTACAATGAAATGGTTCATAAAAAGACAGAGGTTGTCATCAGGCTGGATTTCTGCAGCAGAAACATTGAGAAAGCTGAGAAAATGTGAGTAGAAGCACTACACTGAATGCATTGATTTTTTTTTCCTTATTGTCTTTAATGGCAGCAGTATTTTAAGTTATTTTTTTACAAGGTTTTTTGCATATAAAAATTAAATTGGAATCGGCATGAATTTGCTGATGACAGTGACTTAAGCAGATTTACTAATATGCATTACTCAAACTGGAGTGTTAATTTTGCTGCTTACCCTAGTGGGAACAAGTAATTACTATTGAGTAGTAATTGTGTGTGTTCTTTTTCTCCTTTCTTCTCTGACTCAGTTCATTTGCTGTTGTTGACTTTAGAAGCTATAGTAAAGCCAGGATAAACAATCGAGTAGCTTTCCTTTCATTAGTGCCTTTGCCACGGAGTTTACTTGCGTGTGTTTAGTAAGGATGACTTTAAATATAGCCCCTTTCACAGCTTTAAGACTGTAGCATTTTCTGCATGGATGGAATTTTAATGTTGAACTATAACATAGAGCTGCTGGAAAAAAAAACCACCCAAACCCCACCCCTGATCAAACAAAACCCCAAATCTTCAAAACCACCAGAAAAGAGAGAAAAGAGAGCTGCATTAGGATATCACTAGATCATAGTGCATGCACATAGGGATGCCAAAAGTAAATTGCACAGGGAATTCTAGTTCTGCCATTTTAAGTGCCTGAACTATTATATTATTTTTGTATACTTTGATTAATTCAAATGGCAGAGGTCCGTGTCAGAGAATCTGCTGTTGCCCGTATAGAACCATCTAGATCTATGCAGTAGAAAGTTTTTTAGAGGGCTTTCTTTAAGACTGGCAAAATTTGTAATAAAGGAGCAACTAAAGAAGTGTTATCTTTTAGTGTAGGCATCTTCCAAATTTCAAAGACCATAGAAGACCCTTGTCTTATCTTCCATTCCAAGGAAGCAGATGTTTTCCAGTGGCCAGACTCGGCTGCCCTACCTCTTTCAGTCAAGTGCTGTCTCTAAGACATGAGATTTCACCATTAAATTCTCCCTCCAAGTTTGTTCTTTTTTTCTCTCTCCCAATCTTGATTTCATCTCTGAGTCTCAGTCAATGTCCAATTCTCAGTCATATTCTTTTCCACTTTTAAAGTGTCCTTGCAGTGTTTTGTTCAGTCATTTCACAAACTAGCATTAGTTCCCTCTTTAAGGTGTATTATTCTTATGCAATCTGGCACGCACTTTAAACCCCAGCTCTTCATAGGATTCTCTTATGGGTAGTTGTTTTCCTGTTCAGCTTATTGCCACTCTCCTCCAAATGCTGTCTCAGTCATAGGATTCTCTAAACTTGCTTCGAGGCTCCTCTGAAAATGCGGATGCCCGCAAGATGATTAATGCACACATGTAGAATGGCTACATTTAGCCCATATCCAGGTATTCTGACACCTGATAACCCCTCCCCAGCAGAGGAGGGGGATCTGGAAAAGGAGAGGAGACCTGTGGGCTGAAATGAAAAGGAATTTAATGAAACAGCAAAACTAATATTAATCTTAATGCCAGTATTGAGTATGCAAAGTTATGCTTAGCCCAGTGAACGTACAGCGGTCACAATAAACGGGAAAGCAGTCCTCGGGAGCAGAGTGGTGAGCGAGCCCCTCCAGGGGTGGAGAGAAGCAGGAGAAGGAAGAGGTGGAGTAGGAGCAGGAGAAGCCCCCATGCTTAGCAAACTTCCCCCTTTACAGTGGGGTTGACATTATGGTACAGGATACCCCTGTGAGTCCCCTCAGGTCAGCTGCCCTGGCTTTTGCCCCTCACAGCTCAAGCTGCTGGCTCACTCAAAAATGCTGAGGGCCTGCACCCCACGGCTGGCCAGTGGCTCTACCCCAGCGAAACCACGACGTGGAGCAGTTGGGTTTGCAGAGTACACTGTAGAAGAAACTTAAGCTGTGTTGGAGCTGTTACTTGTGTGCGAATTGTACAGCTTGTGTGTCAGAATTATGGCTACCCAAGGATTTGTCACATTTGTTGTGTGCGTGACAAACCTGACACACCTCGCCTTTAAGGTACTTGCTTTAAAACCAACAGTGCAACTAGCAAAATTGATAACCAGCAAGATAACAGTAAACCTGTGGTGTAACTAAGCTAAAAATCGTCAGGGCTGTCATCCAAACTATCTTCAAGCCAGTTTTCACTCGCTGACAGGACTGGTCCATGTTCACTGTATTTGGCTCAGGTGGCTTCTTCCTGCATCATGCCAGGTCCCCACAGAAGAAAGCCACCCAGAGCTCAAACGAAACGACTGTTCTGATCTGTGAGTCTGGTGCATTCAGCAGTATCTCAGAGTAGCAGTTTGAAAAAAAATTGCGTTAACTTGCAAACTGGAACCAAAATTTGCTATGCGTTTGCACATGGTCTTTTGGCCTCTTACAAAGAGGCAGGACTTTCAGTTTATTTGACTTCAAAAGACGTCTGTGGAGTTAGCGAAGGACACGTCCTCTTGTTTATCCTCTCTTTTCAAGGCTGCACTTCAAAACATGACGATGCAAAGCTTTTATTTCAAAAGGTAAACACAGTATTGAACTTGTGCAAAGTATGTATTTTTTGAAAGCTGCTGAACTGATTTTGATGATCTTCTTAAAAATAAAGTGTGCCTGAGACTCAACAGGAAAAATATGATTCATTTGGCACTTGAGCCATGATCATATACAAAGTATGAATACGAGCAGATGATGCTACTCAACCCAGCCTTTAAGGTTTTGGCAACTCAACTAACCCAAGGTTTTGGTAATTCAGCCAACCCAAGGTTTTGGTAACTCAGCCTTTCCAAAAAGTACCCGCAGAAAAGCATTTCGGTGCACTGGAGTGTGTGTTCTGTGTCATCAACTACTTTAAGGAACCTTGGTTCAGTAACCTTTTAAAAATTATTTGATGAGAGGCAATAGTTTTCCACTGCCTGTTGCGTACAAGTAATGAAAATAGAATAAAGATGTCAGGAATGGAAGTTTCAAACTTCTTTTTAACAGTTCAGATGTAGGAAAAAAATTCAAGGGATTGTTTTTCCTAACTAAAACATTTCAATTATTAATGGCCACTTAAGGTTGTCAGTGTTTCATGGTTGTTGCTTGACAGATACTCTATTTCATAGGAAACAAAAGGTAGCTACTATTACGCTCTAGATTCAAGGAATATTTTGAGTATATTAAACTGCTTGTTTTTTCTTTCTTTTTCAACTATGCTTTTTTGTTGTTGTCAGATATGAGAATTTGATGCAGATCAACCTGGAAGCATCAGAAGTAGATGAAATTTCAGAGATACACACAAAACTGTTGCGTGTAAGTATCTGGCAAAGCCTGTGTCATTCTCAAAATGGGGTTTCTAATGAAGCCAAGTACACAACAATACAGATTTTTCTGCGTTAATTTTCAAAGCAATTTCTAGGCTGCCAATGGTTGTCAAAAGACCCATACCGAGATATCTTTCTTAAAAGAGAGTAAAATCCTTTTATTAGCCCAGTGTAGTCAAAATAATAAGTTCCTGAAAATACATTCCCATTTTCTTAAGTATCCAAGTAAAAAATTATAACCACAAAATGTATTTTACTTTGCAGTTTTTTTCACTTTCCTGAAAGAATTTTAAACTACTTCATTGGCTTTCTAAAATGATACATACATAAATACACTCCAGAATGATCTGCTTTGAAATTTGCATCATGCTTCCAGACAAGTAAGGAAAAATTGAAAATAAGTTTACACACTGGTGTCATGGGAGCAGGTATAAATTTGTCCATTCTAACATCAAAAGATGATTAGTGCATTTTTTTTATTTTGAAGGCTGTATGAACTGTGGAGAAACAAAGTTATGAATTAAGTGGATAGTCACTATATGAATTTTTAACAAACCAAAAGCGCAGACGTAGAAGTAAATAGGGAATATATGAAAGGTAGAAACTTACTGTTGAAAGAAAATGAATATTGACTAGCAGAAATGCCAGCATCAGAGGTGATTCTTTCTTTAATAATACCGTGCTTTATCTGCTTTTAGCTAAACCTAGGCAGATAATTGGGCATACTTCTCTAAAGAAGGTCAGTGAAACAAATGGGTTTATAATGTCAATGTGCTCAGTCTGTTTTCAGCCTCAAGTAATTTTTCACTGTCCAATGGTAAGGTTGAACTTTCCTGCTCTTATGTAGCTCTCCAGCTCTCAGGGCACGATAGAAACTAGTCTTCAAGATATCAAAAGCAAACTTTCTCCTGGTGGTTTACTGGCTGACACCTGGGCAAATCAGGAAGGCATGCACCCAAAAGACAGAAAGTGAGTAATTGTATAATTGTTCTATATATATTAAAATCTTCGTTGAGTTGTAGTTCATAAAAACTCACTGGTAGGTACTTAAGTTTATATATAAAATATCTCATTTTCTTCCTTTTGTCACTCTAGTCCAGAAAGACTGCAGGCACTGCTGCGTTCCATCACAGATATTTATTACCAGTTCAAAAAAGACAAAGCAGAACGAAGTAAGTAACGTATTTGTTTCACTTTTAACATGAACTGTAATGTAAACAACAGGTCAGTCCTTGTTCTGCTAGGATATTTGTGGTAGTCAGCAACAGTGAACATGTCTGTAGGTCTTGCTTGGGGAGATACAGTCTTAAAGCTCATACAAATGAAATGCCACTATTAATCTCATAAATTTGAATTGCAAGACTGGAGAGGAGAAAAAAAAAAAACAACACAAATAAATGACCACTTTTACCTGTCAGGATAAGAGAAGGAAACCATATAGGAAATGGGCTAAACGTAGCAGAGTTTTACATAACTACAACAGAATTAAACTGGTAATGTCTGTCATCTGCTCTGATCCTAGGACTTCCTTATAATGAAGAACAAATTCACAAGTTTGACAAGTAAGTTTCAAAGTTACCTTTGGGAAATATCATGACTGCTGTCAGGTCATTCAGGTGCTCTTGCCAACTACCTCTTCTGATGATTTTTATTGTACATTATACCTCTTTATGAATGCTTTGCTAAAAAGTTTCTTTTAAATGTCTTAAATACATAGGGGTGCCAGCATACGATAATGAGATGCTTTCTTGCGATGGAGTTTCTTCACTAATAGACCTTCTAAATGTCGATGTGAAATATCTGTTATCTGGGCATAACTATCTTATAGGAATACATTTCTGCCCCCTCCCTGTTCTTCTAGGGAGGAAAAAGCCCTCAGTAAGAGAGAGGTGACTTTGTAACTAAGGTGAAGATAATTTTCTACAGATTAATAAAATATGGGCCAGCCGAATGAAATTCTAGAATGATTTAATCTTCTGGGAAATACAGCATGCAAAATAAATATTAGTGGAGTTCTCCATGCTTGTTTTAAATTGTTGCTTCTGGGAAGTGGCCATGTTAAGTGCCTGTGTGTAACCTGGCTGTCGAGACTCCCACTTAACTCAACTGACTCACTCTTGAGCGACTGCAAACAGCTGCTCTGCTCATGCCGCTCTACTTGTCAACTGAATTCCTCATATGCAGATGCTTCATACTACTTAAGTTGCCCTAGGGTATCTGAGGTGTGCTCTGAGACTGGGAGGTAGGACACAAGGCAGTCGGAAAACCTACATCTTTCTGGACAGACAGTTGGGAGAAGGGCATCCCAGCTGAACCTAGATGCATATGTTTAAGCTGTTCTCCTAGTGGCTGGTCAGTTGAGGGGTTCCCTAGACTTTTGCTCAGTGCAGTATGAATTTAAACGTGAATTCTGTAATTTTCTAAAGTCTTGCTGCCATGGCTACCGCCGGCGTGGCTCCGCTGACAGTTAATGATAGAAGACGAACAGGCAGAAGGCACCGCTGTTCTCACAGCCACAGCACTTGATTTTCTTCACCGATAGACCTTCTAAATGTCGATGTGAAATATCTGAAAGCAAGCAAGCTGAATGGGGCAACCGCCAAGCAGAGGGGAAGTTGCTTTAAGATAAAGGACAGTAGGGGCAGGAAACATCTTAAGACGGTTCTTCATATGCTGAAAGGGACTTGGACACATTGTCGCCCTGCAGCAGCAAGGCAACTGAACTTCCCCTGAGCGACAGTTTTGCCATATGATCCTAAGGATATGGCTAGAAAGCAGGAGACATTGGAACACAATCTATATCTCATTCTAAAGCTGTGCTCCCTTGGGCAAACGAAAGAAACTTTAGGGCTTTTTCTACTGCTCAAACTCTGTCCTTGCACTAATATGTGAATGCCTTCAAAGAAATAGGCTTCATTTGCATGGTTTTGACTACTGGTATGCTTCCTACCACAAGTGTCTCCTTGGGATTGTTCAGGCATCATTGAGATCCTAACTGTAGCGTATTGTAAATGAATCACCCCAGAGAGAAACGGCAGTGGCTTTTGTTAAGAACTCTGTGCCATCAGCAACACAGGCTGGCCTTTGTTCAAGGCCACTAGACAGACAAGGGAGCAGCACTCAGTTCAGATTCTTTTTCTGGCTGAATGATAGGTGCACATGCCCGCTGACAATCCAGCTACACTCTAGCCAGAATTTGATTAACTAGTAGCTCTCATGCAAGAGTTAATGAAATACAAGAAGCAGATATCTGTGTTAGGACTATAGTGTCCCAGTTTGGTTTCACTTACTGGTGCAGTGCACAGCATGGTGAGGCAGTTACGCTGGAATTACTGTCTGCAGCACTAACCAGATTTGAGTTTTGTTTTCCTGTCCTTATCTGCTTGTCATAAATCTAAGCTGATGCAAAAATCCTATTTTTTCTTGCATGTGTGTTACTTGGCACAAAGGATTATACATATATGCTGGAAGTTACAAGTATCTGCAGAAGGCAAATAAGAAATAAGAAGGATTTCTGTCCTTTCCATTTAGAATCCCCTTTCCTTAAGTATATCTGCCTGGATAAATACTGAGTTGGAGAAGATATTTGATCATTTGTTCATATACAAATAATTGCATCTAAATGCTTCAAGCATCATTTTTTTTCATCCCTGCTAGGGAATATTTTTAAAATAAAAACCATCATTTGTGTGTTCAAGTCTTATACATTACAACAGCATAAGTAAAGGTGGCTGAAGGGATTTTAAGTCCAAGTTTCAGAAATTAAGTTAGAGGAACGGGGTTTTGAAAGCAGGATAACAGTGTTCTGGTTGGTTCTGTGTTGCAGGCAGAAGCTGTATTTGCATGCTACAAAAGCCATAGCTCTATTCAAAGAGGAATGTGTCAGCAAGTATGATACATTTTTGGACAAGGCTGAGGACTGGACAAGGCAAGCTATTGATTCCTTTAATATTTGGTAATGGTCACTGCACCGCTTTTATAAAGAAAGCTCTTAAAAGAATTTCTTATTTTTATTTTTTTTTTAGGAAAATGCTTCACATAAGGAAGCAATTACTGGCTCTCACCAATCAGTGCTTTGATATGGAAGAGGAGGTATCCAAATATCAGGATTACATAAATGAGGTAGAATGCTTCAAAATTATGTAAAGTGTTTGCATAGAAAAGACTGTTCCACATGGCTTAATGTCAAGAGCGTTGTTTATAGTGGGTCTTACAGAAATGCAGTCGTATTAAAGTATAGGGCTGCGTGGGTGTAGTATTTGGTCTTCTAGTAGCTTCATTGCTGATGTTGGAGAGGTGCATAGCATGGTGTGATTTTTTTGAATCCTGACTTGATTTTGGAGTTTGGTGGGCTCTTTTTAGTTTTGGTTGGGGTTTTTTGGTGGGATTTGGTTTTGGGGTTTGTTTTTTTTGTAGTGTTAGCGTTCCTCCCCGCAAAAATGTGTGCAAATGGATGTGGGTTCATTGAGAAGTGTCCTATGTAACTGTTATCATAACAGTATCTGAGCACATAGTGAATTATCTTAATACTATTAATAAAGCATAAAGCTCCCATATTCGAGGGGTACATGCTTAAGGATACATGCTAAACTAATGCTGCTGGTGACAAAAAAAGAAAATGTTTTGTTAAACTTTGCATCCTGCAGAGTCACCATCCAAACTTACAAGAATTACATCAACATTGAGAGAATGAGAGCATTCCTGTGCAGTAAAATTATTATTCTTTGTAAAGGAAATGTACAGGAAAGAAGGGCACCTGGTAGGTGTAAAAGCCACTAAGGGAGTGGTGGAGAGCAGCATTTCACTTGCTATTTGTTTCCTTTTTAGTAACACTACCATAGTCAGCTATTCATTAGGATGCTGTTGCCTTAGGATATCTGCAAACATAACAAATGGATAATCCTTCCTTTTGAGAGTTAATTATGAACGCAGAAGGCAGTTAACAAAGTGGAACAAATAAAAACCTGCCATGATGATCTCAACTTGGGGAGTATCAGCCTCCTTGCTACTGCAATGATTTGATGAGGCATCGTAGCAAGGGAGAATTTAAAGAAGGTTTCTAAGGTGGATGTCAAGATACATATATGACCCTTTTATATTGTAACTTAGATTTCCTTTTCATTTATTACAGTTACAAGATGCTCTGCCACAGAAAATGTTTGCAGCTTCCAGTGGGATGAAACACACAATGAATACAGTCTATCCAAGCTCAAACACATTAGTGGAAATGACTCTTGGGTGAGAGTTTCTTCATTGGATCGATGTAATATTCCATACATGTTATACAGGCAAATTGAAAAAATAACAGTTGACTTGGTGATTGCTGTGTTAAGATCAAGAATTTTGTACTGCAGAAAAAACTTTATGTTGCTAAAGTGGTTGTACAGATTTGGAAGCAAGTAGGGGACAACACTAATAGATCTTCTATCATTTTCAGTAAATAACCAACTTGCTACCTGTCCCTTCTTTTCCCTGCAATGACAAGTTGCTGAAGGCTGTGTAGAGGTGGTGAGTGCTCATAGCAGATAACTGTCCCTATAAAACCTGTAACCTTCCTTTCGCTTCTTGTTACTACAGTATGAAGAAACTAAAGGAGGAAATGGAAGGGGTCGTTAAAGAGCTGGCTGAGAACAATCATATTTTGGAAAGGCAAGCAAATGTTTTCCCTTTTTTGGCTGATTCTTGGAAAAGGCTTAATGTGATACATTTTGTAGATCAAGAACTTAAACTAAGGGACAATTCTATAATCTCTTTAACTCTAAATATAGTTTGAAGTGTTGATCTAGGGTATAACCATAAAACCCCAAAACTTTTTAAAACCTTGAAACATTACTGTAAAGTCATTTACAGTAAAGCCATGTTTACATGTACATGTAAAATTTACAGGTAAAGACACAATCGTGGCACGTTTTTGTTTCATGTTACTTTATGTTTAGCTAATAAAAATGTCTATTGCACAGACAGAGGAACCCTGAATTTAAACACAGTACTGTTGTAACAATCCAGTGGTGCCTTTTAACTCCTCACTTCTCGACACAATTTTTAACAACTATAGAATTATACCAATCTCAATAAATGATTTTGCAGTTTTCAGATTGCTTAAATAGAATGGCGAGAAAGAGACCAACATATTTCTTACAATCCTGAGAGGGTATTGTCGTTAACACATACAGATTGACTTTGCTTTTCTCCTGTGATGATGATAAAATATATAAAGATAGTGATGTCCTGAAAACTTGAGGGTAAATTGCTAGTAGAGCTGAGTTTATCTTCAAGCTGAATTGGTGGTGGTTTGTTCCCCAGCCCCATACCTGGAGCACAGCATCCTCTCATCTGTCTCCTTTTCACTTAAAAAAAGTTAGAAACAAATGCATGTGCTGGCATGTGGCAAGGGAAAGGAAAAACCCATAAATAAATTACAGTGAATTAAGGGTTGATTCTGTAATCTAATCAATCACCTAAGAATATACTGGTTTTTCATTTTTAGGTTTGGTGCTTTGACTATGGATGGTGGCCTGCGGAATGTGGACTGTATCTAGCTTTTAAAGAATTAGAAGAGGACTTGTGCATTTTTCTCAAAGGGAAAAAAAAGTGCTGTTGGACATTTAAAAGCAGATAATAAATCTGTATCCAGGGTTTTTGTTTTTTTTCCTCTACAACTGTACTATTAAAACAATGTAAATATGTAAAATATGTAAATATAAAAGAAATATATATCTTTTTTTTGGTAGATGGTGGAAAAGAATTACTCCTGGCAGGGAATTCAGCCCCTTGGAGGGTCTCTGACAAAATCCTAAAGGAAAAAGTGTTGTTGATGAAATTGACATTTGTTTGCTTTGAATATTCCTTTTAATTTTTTTCCCCTCCAGAATGCAATTTATTATTTATTGCAAGAGGACTTGCAGAGCTCTAGACATTATGAATAGTCTTTAAAGGGTGTTTTGGATTTCTTTTAACTGCCACTGTTATTTTGGAGTATAGCTAATGACTCCCATCATCACAGAATACCACAACTGTTTTAAATGAGCCTTTTTTAACTAAGTGTTAATAGGGACTAAAAGCACAGATAGGACAGAGTGGAAATGCATTACTCTTTCCTTCATGTCCAAACTGTTAGTTCACTTCTACTTGAGAAAACAAATTCACGGTATTTTTTTAAGTTCCTCTCCATATTTGGTGTCATGTTGTCTGTAATCATTTGACTGCTCTGTATATGGAAGTTTTGCACTCCAGGTTGTCAGACTCCAATGTAAAAATTCCTTTTTTTTTAGAGTGCAGCATCTTCAGAACTTCCCTGAAATCTTGTTGCTCACCACAAGAGAAATGGGTTCTTAACATAAAATAGCTTTTTCAAGATCCTGACTGCAGGCATAATTTTAGAAAAAGGTTAACAGTCGTTATTTGGAGAATTTGTGAGCAGTCAGTAGACTAGATAGCATCGTGCCTCCTTAGTAACTGAATATTGGAAAAACAAGTTGCTGGTCTAGATCTTGAAAAGGGACCGCACCCACTGCTGACTTACAGCTGGGATATCAAACTTAAGTAGAAAACTTAGTAAGACTATATATTTAATTTCCAGTATCGGTAGTTACTCCTTTCGGTACCACGATTGGGTTGCAGAGATGCAGAACAAAACAGTCTGCTCCAGAACATGGGGGAGAGGAGAAAGGGAAGAGTGAAACAAACAAAAACTCAGAAAACACCCCTCATGTTGTTTGGGTACTAGAGGTGTACTCACTTATTGCAGATGAAAAGCACGCAAACATTGCAGAACTCACTTTTTCCCTGTGGAAGCCTGGCCGTGGATGTTCAGTGGTGCCCAACAGCTTCTAATTGTGGTGTTACATCTGTAAGAAGAGCTGGGCCAACTGTATTTTGAATTATCCATAATTAATGGTGAAACATGTGTGTATAAACTAAACTGCAGCAGCCGATAGTTTTGCGCTGCTTATCTGTCCAGGTCAGAATACAAAACGTTTCACTTGCATTTTTTAAAAAAGATATTTGGATAGAAGCTTCTGAAATTTGTAATTGATTCTTTCACTGTTACAAGAGGAGGAAATTCACTGCCTTCATTTGCTGCCGAGATCTGCTTTCTAGTGTTCTTGGTGAGAATCAAATACTACAAAGAAGTTCAGGTATTTTTACACCCACATGAGCAGCTTCTTTCTTTGCAAACTCCGTCCCCCAAAAAATCTAGCTATGCAAAAAGAGTGCAGCAGTTTATTACATGTTTTTCCTGGGTTAGCTGTGGTATTCTTAACCGTTTTAAAATACTAGAATCATGTCTAACTAGAGTTTAATGCCTGCTTGTACATTTGCTCATTCACATCCACAGCCACACCGAGTGACAGTAAAACACACGTTAAGTGTTGCAAGAACTGGGCTTCCAGCTGTGCAAAAATTGTAATTTTTTTCCAATATTACATCAGTAAGACTTTGTTGTTTCAGAGGTTCTTAATTTTGAAAGTATCAAGCATTAGCTGGAACACATAATTTTCAACTTCTTTATACTGAAGCAGTCTGAAAAAGCAAGCTCATAGTAGGAATATAGTTTGTGTATTGAGGTGTGTTGCGGCATTCTTTTTTACATGGTGCAAAACGCTACAGTTTATGTTCATTTTAAACATTGCTGGTTTTAGTGTTTCCAAATTCATCAGTAATCTTAATCTTGTTAAAATTTCTTTTTCTGAAGCAATTTTAACTAAGCAGTGGCTAAGGAACTTGAAGTAATCAGTTCATAATCTACTGATTATGTTCTCATGAAGCAAATATATTTTTCAAGGCGAAACATAAGTGTATGTATGCTACCATCAATGTTTTTGGCCCAAACTAAGTGTCTTGATACTGTCCATCATGCTACCGATTTGCCAAAAAGAAGTAATAGAAAGTAATATATGGTTCTTCCTCCTGAAACTGGTTTACTAGTTTGGGGGGGTTGTTGTTCATCTTAGTATATTAATTATCTGTTACTCGAAAAAACCTGTCTTCATATGAATTGTGAAAATGCATGAGTGAATGACTTAATGGCATGAATACATCATCAACCACTTCCTGTATGGTGTATATTTACTTCCGTGTCTTTCCATAATTTCACTTTCTGTTAATTTCACTATTATAAATCTTATTTCCCTCCAAGCAGCCTCAAATCTGATGTAGCAAACAGCAGCTTAGCTTGCAATTGTCTGGACAACGTGTCCCGTACAACGGAATCACTCACATAGGCTACGTGGTGGAGCCACTGATCTGTATTTCACTCTGCTGATGTGTGTTCTGAACAATATTGTTAGTTCTCTGTAACAGTGGCAAAATTCTTGGTCTCTGCTTGGGGTGAAACCGTCCACTAGTGAGGCTCAGTCAGTACTAATTTAGTTAATCACTGCAGAAGTGGTAATCATAGAATATTTTTAGATATAGTGCTATGGCAAGGATTAAAAGGGCTGAATAAAGGATATTACTTTTTTGGGGTCTTTTAAGCTTGAAGCCTAGAAGAGGGGAGACATGGAATAAACTGCAGTTGCCTCAACTTGTTTGGGTAAAATTAAACACAGAACTTAGTAAATAATTGCATGACCTGCTCTTACTGTGAAATTCCTTGCAGGGTGGGCATGGTAATTGGTTTGGCTAGCCACAGCTGATTACTTAAAATGGCTTATAAAAATTAAAAAAAAAGGCACCAACCACCTGAAGATAGGTTAGGGGAGAAAAAAAAGAAAGTCTAGGGTCTGGAAAACTCAGCTGAGAGGGTCTGGGGGAAAAAAGTGGGAATTGGTTGACTGAAAGGAGAATATTGGAAGAGTGGGGAACCAAAGCCTGCAGTCATCTAATGGCTGTTACAGATCAGCATTTGCCACCCTGTCTGTGGTGAAAAAATTAAGAGATTATGAATATAAATTGTAGTGCAGGAAACAATCCGGATGACAAGTCTGGAAAAATCTTAGTAAAGGGAGTCAGGTGCCAGAACACATTGTTCTGGGAACTGAGCAGTATCGGTTGAAGAGGAGTTACAGGAACAGGTTAACTCTGGTGGGAGCTGTTGTGGCTGATTCTGGCATTGCAATGCTGTGTCACCTCCTAATCCTCTGTGCTCTAAATAGCGGGGCTTTGTTGTTATTTGTTCCATTGATCACAAAAAAACACACCAGGAGTAGGATCCCTCAGCAGAGTTTGCTATTTTTACAACAGCACAAGCAGGGTCAGCAGCAGTGGTGCTTGCAGATGTGCATCTTTTGGGGAACTTTGCTCCCTGTTGACAAGGAAGGCAGAGCTGCTGCCATGCTACACATACAGGCGCACTGTGGTTGATCAAAGTTGTGCTCTGCCCCTGAAAACTTACCCAGGTGTCAAACGCAGCCTGTGACTACGCAGCCTACTCCAGCCTTCCCAGCGAGGTACGGTGTCGTGTCACCGCTGCCTTGCTGACGGAAACATTTCCTGGACTGGCTGCTTGAATTTGGGTAATTTTAATCAGAACCTACTGAAGTGCATCGCCAACTCTTACCAGCTCCCCCTGTGCCAGAGTGAGGGTTCCTTCAGCATCCTCAAGGATGTTCCTGCCGTGGTTTGTTTGCAATTACAGAGCCGGCCATGAGCGAGAGCCTGGCTTGGCCCAGCCGTGCCCTGCGCCGTGTGCCAGGGGAGCCGAGCTCAGCCCCTGCTCCATTCCCCCTGAGCTCCGCTTGCAGGCACGTTTGCTGGCTCATGGTGAGCGAAGATGACACTGGCACAATCGTAGGGCTGTGCCCGTGGCGATGGCCATGGGAGCTCTACCAGCAGTTTCAGATTTAAGCAGATGGGAGCAGTTTACAATTTTTAAAGAAATCAGGTGAAAAGACTTCACTTCTTTTTTTCTTTTTCTTTTTCACTTTAGTTCCTTGGAACCCTCTGCATAAACATGCAGATGAACTGTTTATAAATCCTGTATCTCTGCGTCCTGAAAGCACGTTACAGCCGGGCTACATCTTTTTTTTTAACATGTTTCCAACGCTTAGGAGTCGTGACAGCCAAACGCACCGGTAAGCTCCCTGACAATGCAGCTTTGAGAGACCTGGGCTTTATCTTCCTTGCGGTGCTATCACTTGCTTCCACTTCGATACCACAAGGTAGGCTGGGCTCGGAGGGGCAA